ATTTGGAACAAATTTGATTACCTGACTTTTGTTCGTAAGACGCAAAGTTTTCGCGTAAAAAAATTTGTACAATGTCGGTAGAAATGCAAATCAATATCCGGAGGGTGCAAAATCAGTAGTTTTTAAATAAAATATGCAATATGCAAAAAATAACATTTTATTTCAAGAAATTTTAAATAAAATTAAATTAAATAAACGAAATTAAACTGTATTCAAATAAATTGTTGAAAGTGTCCACCCTCAGCGAAGATACAGACATTCAATCTTCTAGTCGTTGAATCTCGTACTCGTTCAAAAATTATTGGTGTGTTTCTTATTCTTTCACAGGCGTCTATTATTCGGTTTCTTAGTTCTTCCTCGTTTGTTACTGGAATTTTATAAACTAATGACTTCAGATGTCCCCAAAAATAAAAATCTAACAGGTTTAGATCTGGGGACCTTGGTGCCCACGCCTGGTTAGGTTCTTCTACACCCGATCCATCGATTTGGATAGACAGTGTTAAGGAATTCCCTGGCTACAACGCTGAAATGGGCCGGAGCCCCATCATGCATAAACCACATGCGGATACGATTTTCTAAAGGTACATTCTGAAGTAATCCCGGCAATTCGTTTTCTAGAAAGTGTCTGTAAGTTTCTCCATCCAGTCGGAGCGGAAGAAAGAAAGGGCCTATCAAATAATCATCAATTATTCCCGCCCATACATTTACAGAAAATTGATACTGAGAATGCCTTTTACTAATTGCGTGCGGATTTTCTAGAGCCCACACATGGTTGTTATAAAAGTTTGTGGTAGTATTTTTGGAGAAATTTGCCTCGTCCATATCTTAAAAATTTTCAGCCAATTTCCTCAAAAACCACTGACACATATTAATACGTTAAGGAAAGTCTCGTGGCAAAAGAGCTTGCACCCTTTGAATATAGTAATCGTGGATAATTCTCCAAACTGTGGACTGAGTAGAATTGAGAGCTTCAGCAATTATTCTTGTACTTGTTTCTGGATTCTCCTCGACAGCGTTCAAAACAGCTTCTTCCAATTCTGGGGTTCGGACTGCACGTGGTCTTCCAACAATATCAGCTGCCCTCTTAAAGCTACCTGTTTCGGCCAAACGACGGTGGAGACTGGAAAATGTTGGAGCTTAAGGCAGTACTCGATTAGAAAATCTCTCCTGATAAATACGTCTCGCGTCGCGCGCATTGCCATCCGCAAGGCCATAAACGAAATGCATGTCGGTTAAATAGGCATTATTTAAATAATCCATTTTTCTAAATGAGTGTTTAAAAATTTACAGAAACTTCACCAATTCAATGATAAAGCCAAAAAAATTAACTGTCACATGTGTTGTTACCATAAATACTTACCTAAATGTCAAATTCATTTCTAGGCACTCTTGTGAAAACAAAATAATGCTGACAACATGCATCGATTATTAAGTAATCGACTTGAAGATTTCGAGTCCAAATATCTAGAAAACGTAACGACTTCTAACAAGGCTAGATTTTTACATAAATTTGATAGGGAAATCGATTTTTTTACTGAAAAACGTGCTAGATGTACGCTCAAAATTTTTTAGCGATTTAGTCATGTATGAAAATGGTTTTTATTTTTTACGAACAAAAGTCAAGAGATCAAATTTGTTCCAAATTAAATGTAGATTTTAAAAATATTTTTATTTTTTTAAAAACCAATGGCGTACCATTTTTTTCTTCAATAATATTTAGTTTAAATACCGTAGGGACGCCACTGATGAAAATAAAAAAGTTAATAGCATCAGAAAATGTCATTTTATGGTAAAACAACGTGTACCAAATTTCATTAAATTATCTTTAGTGGTATGAAAGATATGATAAAAAAAAAGATTTTTTTTCTTAAAACTTTAACACCCTGTATCTTGAAAACTATTCATTTCCGGACACATGTTTATATGAACTTTTTACCCTAAAATTATTCAAAGAATCATTTTTTGAAGTTTTTCAAAGTACTTATGAATGTATATGATAATATTTCCTATTTCTAAATCAAGGTAACCTTTTTATTGCGATGAAGAAGTTTTGTTTCTTCCAAGACACAGTTTTTTTTTATAAAATCTGCCCCACCAATTTTTGAAATCTAATATGTCACTGGTTTCAATTTCTTTGACTGAAAATTTTGGTACTGGAAATAATAATAATTTCGGAGATCTGATGAACTGTGCATATTCGGTCATGTTTGTGCAATTTTTTTTTCATCAATGCGAAATCCCTGTCGCATGGGAGAAAAGAATGCCCTCTAACTGGGAAAAAGTGGGAGATTGTGGTGAATATACAGGAATCTGTAAGGGCTAAAAGCATTCGAATCTTTATATGATTCTTGTTTTGGCCATATCAGTTATCACTGTAAAGATGAAGCTCTGAGTGATTTTCTTTAAATTCGTTAAGGTATTCGAGGAGAAAAGGAGAAACGTACAAATCTCGTTAGCTGTTTTTTTGCCTGTCCTTTGTGATAAACATACATCCTAGATGTATTTTTCTTAAGATTGTGTTTACAAAATACGGACACCGTGAGTTGTTGATAATAAAATACCTCACCAACAGGCGTTGTTGATAACTGGACGTTTTGCATAAAGTCGAACGCCAATGACAGAATTTGCTCTTTATTTTCCGTTTCTTCGACGTTTCTCGTTATTTTTGAATAACGTTTTTTAGTGTCTCTTTCGTGCACTATCAATTCGACAACTGCGCTGCGCGTGGCGGTCTCATTTAAATTCCGGTCTTTTATTTTATTGTTTAATAATTCGCAAGTGGAACAAACATCAACTTGTGGTCGTCCGAAAGATAGATTAAAATTTTCAATAAAAAAGGATCTATAAAATGACCTTTTGAATTTTAATTAATTAATTTTAATATAATAGACAAATACGGTGTAATAGGAATATATTATCTCTTGTGAAATATGGATTGTATTATGTTCCTTAGATACGCATATAATACACCCATATAATGAAAGTTGCACATAAATAAACATGTTAAAATAATACATTTTTAAGTTTATTTCTGTTTTGAACGAAGATGTAGAGAGAATTTGTGAGTTAGATGTTTATTACCATGACATTTCTACGTTAAGGCCACTTTTTACGGCGCAATTTTGTTGAAAATTTCATGCTATGCAAGTTTGCGGCCATATCTTGCAGAAGGCCAAATTGCACCATATGTATATAAATGCTTCATTTTCATGGTGCAAGTTGGTTGAGATATATTGCTTATTTAAACAATTCTGCCAACCCAAATATTTTGACTTCTGTTTTTGTTGGTAAAACCTAACTCACTTTTTTGTTTATTGTTAATTGTATTTTCTCGTAATGGCACATCCACAAATTGATAAACTATTATTAACATACGCAATTGCAAGTGTATTAGTAAGTAGAAATAGGACAAATCGCAGGAAAAGAAAGCCAAAAGCACATTGGGTGAAACCTTGGCGGGATAGAAGACTTGGAAATTTAAATATTGAGTTATATCAAAAGCTTTAAAAATTTTCTCAGTACGAATGACGCCACTTTTATTAAATTATGAAATAAATTGAGCATAGAATTACCAAAGAAAATACCAATATGCGGAAAAGTATTCCTGCGAAAAATAAACTTATCATTGCACTAAGATATCTTGTTACCGGGGAATCTTTTACATCATTGCAAATAATTATAGAGTAAGCAGACTACCTAAAGGTGAATATTGTTCCTTTAATAAATATTGCATTACAACTGTGATTACAAATTTCTTTATTTTTTTTAAAGTTCCAAATACAACAACTGAATGGTTATAAATATCTGGGCAATTTTAAGACCACTGGATCAATCCAAACTGTCTAGGAGATTTGGATTCAAAGCATATAATAATTAAAGCCCAATCTCAAGAAGGATCCACGTATTGTAATTATAAGGGTGGGCATAGTATTGTGCTACTAACTCTAGTTGATTTTGAGAGATAGTGATTTAAGCCAAGCCATCGAAAAAAATGCTGTTAACTTTCCCGAAGACAGAAATCTTCCCTCAGAGATAAAAAAAAACTCTTTGTCATTGTAGCCGACTCTGCATTTTCCTTAAGTGAACACATTTTAAAACCCTATCCATTAAGAAATATAACCAAGGAACAAAGAATTTTCAACTACCGTTTGAGCAGAGCTCGAAGAGTGGTTTAAAATGCATTTGGAATATTAGCCAATAGGTTTCAAGTTCTATTAAATGTAAATGCTTTAAAGCCACAAAAAGTAAAAATAATTTTTTGAGACACGAACTGCAAAATAAATACACGGGAACTGACCCTGAAAATGAAATAGAAAATTCACCTTACTCAATGGTTTAAGTGCTCAAGCAGGAAACAGACCGAAGAAAATTGCAATAAATAACAGAGAAGAGTAAAAAGTATATTTTAACACGGTTGGGACTGTATCATGGCAAAATTAAATTATTTAACTAAATTAAAAGAAGGATTTATTTTTTTATAATTAGATTTATGTTAGTTGAAACATTGAAATTGTAAACATGTAATATAATTTTATAAAATCTATTTCGTACAGAAATGTTTTCTTTAAGATCATCTAATATATCTTCATCCTAAATCTTGAACATTTCTGATGCCAAATATTGGCAAAAAAAACTTCTGAGGGAGCTACTCTTCTTTAACTCGCAATTACTTGTCTAGTAACCTTAGATTTTTTAATTCATCATCTTCCTCTTTCTTTGTTTTTTAATTAGTATCTTCCTCTTTCTTTTTTTTAAATTATATTATCATCTTTATTTTTATGCTTTAAAATAGATTTGAGTGTTTGGGACTCAAGTATAGATCGTTGTTTTGAAAAGAATTGTTAAGATGATGGACGGAACACTAAAGCTGGTGTTCGGGATGTAGAATAGGAAAGTCGCGATAAGAGAAGAGAAAAAGGAACGGAAACATCACTGATATCCTGATCAAAACTCATTTCTGACTCCATTTCATTTACATCTTCATATATTTAGTAACATACCTCATCTTCTTCATCTTGCTGTGTGTCTTTCTCTTCTATATAAACCTGGGATAAATCCTTAAGGTCTTTAAGAACTGCCTCCAAATTCAAATTAGATTCTCCTCTAGAGGTAATGACAGCCGAATCGGAAAGGAATCCCAGCATTTCACAACAGCAAAGCTTTGGAGTGTACAAATCATCTGGAGATATACCTGTTGACTCAGATTTTTTATTTTATTTAACCCTTTCGCTCACGCATTTTTGTTTTTTAAGATAAAAATCTGAAATTAGGAAGACATACTCTTTTATTTTTTTAAAAATTTTTGGTGTACTTAAAAACATTCCATGTCATCCCTTTTAGGGGGGTGATTTGTACAATATATTGTACATTGTGAGCAAACGGTAAATATGACTTGTACAATATATTGCACATTTTAAATAAGTGGTAGTGTGTTTGCGATTTTGTAAAATAAAATGCAATTAAAAAACAACATAAGGGTACAACTAATTATTTATTTGTGTGATATAACAGAAAAACAATTTTGTTTTTTTGAAATGCATAAATGTATATTGCACTTAGTACAAACAAAATTCGTCCTAGAAGTACATTCAGGGAATTTGCATCTGGAAGAAAAAGATTTTTCATCTACAGCTGGTAAATGACCAACCCGATCTAGTCGTACTTCCGGTAATGGCCTAGTTTCTGTATTTTTTTCCTCTGTGATGGAGATGGTGTATTTTCTCTTGAACTTGATGGACGTCCCCGTTTTCTAGAAAAATCTTTGTTTGTTTTTATTAAAACTTCAGCGATGTATGCTCTAAAGTGGACCAAATCCAATACCTTCTTCTTCGGAATACCTAAAGCAACTGCATGTTGCCTATATTCCAACCAGGCATTGGAACAGGCTATGTCAATACCATGTGTAAACATGCGAAGTGTCCATTTTTTAGAACGTATAAAGGTTCTAATAAAGTAACCAAAAAGTCGCATTTATCAACGCCGCCCATACTTTCATTATATTTTTTTATTACTTCAGGTCGTTTCACATAAATGTATTCCTTATTAGTTTTGTCCCATCGTTTACATATGTCTTCTTCTCCAATACCCATAAAATTGGATGCCATAAGCACGCTTTTATTGTCGAACCAGTGAGTGAGAATAACTTCTCCATCACCGCTCACACATTGTTCAACGAATCCACGACCTTTCTTTGACATTTATTTGATAGACAATAAAGGTGGTTTACTAAATCTATCCGCCCTTGCGGTACAAGCTGCATATATATATATATATATATATATATATATATATATATTCTTATGTCGCAACATTTGTAATAAATTATAATTCGAAAAGTAGTTGTCAAAGAAAAGTTGAACATTTGGTACTGCAATTCTTTCAGATAATTTCAAGACTACGGACGCCGCTGATCCAAAAACTTGTAAGTTAGTTTTGTCCAGTTCAGTTGTGCCTCCTTGATAAATAAGAAAATCATAAATTAATCCACTAGAACCACACAGTGCAAAAATTTTAATTCCCCAAGGTTTTGGCTTATTTGCTACATATTGCTTAACATTTAAACGTCCCTTGAAAGGTACCATTTGCTCGTCTACGCTTAATTTCGATGGGTATAGATAAGCATTTGGACCTAATAGTGTCATATAAAGGTCGCACCTTCCAAAAGCGATCTTGATCAGTTTCATTAGCATTTACTCTTTGGGTATCTACAAAATGTAAATGGGTTCTAAGAGAATAAAAGCGATTTAGTGGCATACTTTCGGAAATTTGTTGCACTCGTAATTGTGGAGTCCAGTAAAAATGTATACGGGGATAGTGTAAATTTCCCATCAATATATGAATCCCAACAAATGTTTTTAGTTCGTTTGCATTTGTTGGAGTAAATCTTGTCGTATTTTGAACTGCAAACAAGTTAGTATTTTCTGCCATAAGGTCAAATAAATTTCTGTGAAATATTGTATAAAATAAAAATATGGACTTTTAAGCTCTACAATATCTTTTTGATGTTGAGTATACCAACCGATGTATTTTGGTGTCTCAAAACGCTCAATTTTGCGCCAAGTAATATCTTTCTTTTTAGTCAAATTATGTTTTTCTAAAAATCTATCAATACAGTCGGCCGCCCCCCTAGCTTCAATATCCTTAAACGCTCTTCGTGTTCTTTAATTTTTTCTTGAATCTATCGTTCTAGCACACACAGCTCTGGTTATAACAATGGCACCATCTTTAAGCCGCCCCGGAGCGCCACGGCAAATAATAATAATAGCCGTCCCTTTCCCCCCACAAGCTCAGCTTTTGGGGTTAAAATTCACTCGTAAGGGGGTGAATTATGGAGAGTATTATTATTATTATATGTAAGTTTCATACTTGGATACATGTCCGTCATTTCCTTTAAAATGTATTGAAGCGCTTTTTACCTTTCATTTCTATTGTGGTAATATATTTTTTTAATATCATATAGACATGGAAAGTTTTCATACAAAAAGATAAGAGCTTTGCACTTTCCGTAGTCCAAACTTGTGGGTTTTTACTTAAAAAAAAATAAAAAAATAAGGTAAATCGCAACTTAACTTGTTTTTATTAAAATATATTTTTAAAGATGCGGAGTAATAAATTAATCCGCGTCTTTTAAAAACACTGTACTTAGTATAAAACTAAATATTTGGTAAATATATTGAAAGTACCCATTTTAATAACATAATTTTACCTATTAATCACAGTTATTAGTTTCTTACCTTTTCGGTTTTGTTGACATGATTAAATATAACCTCAGGCAAACAGTAACAAAGCCTGTAACTTAAATGATGCGTTTTAATTTGTAATATTGTTCGCCGTTGATTTGTAATAAAACTATTCTACTAGCAGTTGATTCGGAGATGAAACAGGAAATAGAGTAAACAAAATGGTAACTTTTTTCAGGTTGGTGTATCAAAAATCTCCATAAAAATGCGTCAAACTTGTACGGAAACTATAAAAAATAGAAAAAATTCTATTTATTTTGTGGCATGAAACTTTCATCAAATATGCCCGTAGGCATGCGCAGTAATTACAAATTTCTTTCAGCAAACTTGAATAGCATGAAACTTGCAACAAAATTGCTCCGTGAAAAGCGGCTTTTAGTTTTCTTTTGAACTGGACAATATTCGAAATTTTTAATAATTTTAAGTTATTTCCTGAAATAGCATATCTAATTATTATGTTTTTTTTATATTTTAGAAAGGTGCTTCCAAGCAAGTAAAAATAACAGATGGCATCGTTCTTGGGAAACTATTAACTACACACAAAAATACAAAATTTCATGCTTTTCAAGATATTCCTTATGCTCAACCACCTATTGGAAAACTAAGATTTAAGGTAGGTAACACTTTTACATATTTTTAAAAAAATATTATAAAAATTGAAAGTGAAATAGTCCTGCAATCTGACAAATTTAATATACAGGAGGTTTTATTGCACAAACAGAGGACAGTTAGGCAATTTAAAAAAAAAACACTATATTTAATGGGTCTCTCTTCGTGACAGACGTATACAGTGTTATTAATTTTAGTCATTTCTTTATTAATACGTAATTCACGAACCAGTCAATAGATTTGTCTCATATTGAGCATAGGGACACCTCCTTTAAGATTTCCAAGCGATTGGAGTATTTTCAATAAATAATCAAGGTTTTTCAAGCTCAAAATAACATCCTGTAAAAGAATTTTTAAAAAGTACTATCCATATTTGTATTGCAAAGATGCATCGTTCGTTTCCGCACATATAATTTTATTACTACAATTTCAAAGTTTCAGTATATCACAATTTTACTGACTCAAAATGTAATCTGAGGGATATTACTTGTATGATGATTTAATCAAGATTATGCGATCTAATCTACTAAATGATGTATTTTTTACTATTCATGCTACTATTATTTTCCCTTAATCAAATAAGACATCTAGTTACTGATTCGCATTTATTTATTATAAGTGGTACATTAAATATTTTGTAAACATCCTGTATAAAAATGTTTTTGGACTAACCAATTGAAGAGTGGAAGTACCAAAGCCACTAAATACCAAATTCACAAATTTAAGATAATTAAGTGTATTTCTTTTACCTTTTACGGCCACTTTATTATAAATTATATGGCAACTAGAATCTTTGTGGAGATATTATTGATGGTTTTTACAAATTTTTTAAGCACATAGTCAAATAAAATTTGATTTTGGAACTTAGCGCTTTTAGTACTTCTACTCTTCAATTGGTATATTTATAACTAATAAAACAGTTATCAGTTGGGCCTTAGAAAAAAACCATTTAACTATGGATCAGGTTCATAGAATCTCAAATATGATTGAAAGAGTATTAGAAAACAAAGAAGTCTGCTTAGTTATCTTTCTTGACGTTTCGTAGACCTTTAAAAAAGTATGGCATGATGGCTTAAAACATAAATTGGATGTGCTACTTTCACAGCCATACTCAGAACTACTGGATCTATACATTTTCGACAGATTCTTTAAAATAAAACAAGGTGAAGCATATTCTCAATTTAAAGAAACCAAAGCAGGAGTACGTATATTTTAGATTGTCTAAAATAATTTCTGCGTAATGTAGATGAGATACGTGCATTTTTGGCAGTTATGAGGCTCTACACCACTTATGCACCAGTTGCCACTAGGTATATCCCACTTCTATCATACACTTTTCAATACTAGACATTAAAAGGTTCACCACACCTACACCTAATTACATTATAGATCACATTTTTTTCTGTACCAACTACGACGTCCAGCCTTTTTAGTCCTATTCTTCTGATATTCCGGTACCTTTTCATTAAGCACTACCCCTTTTGTTTTTACCACCGAAACAGGATAGTCGCTCACATTTAAATGTAGTATGTCTTATGTTATTTGATGTTTTATAAATATAATTGTTTTAACTACTACTTTTGGTGATCATCGGTCTGACGCTAATCTATAAGATTAAGTTATTTTATTTTGTATTTTTTCTAAACCTTATTATATATCTTCCTTTTAGGCCTGAATATGGCTCTCGAGCCGAGATCGGTTGCCTTTGTTAACCTTTAAGGTTAATAAAAACTTTTTTCTACGATCAGTATCCATAGTGGACTTTTGCGCCTCGAAATACAACCGCAAAGTTGACG